ACGACCCCGCAGATGATAATGTCAACGTCGGTACTAAAGCCAATGAACCAGCACCAGAAACAGTGAAAACGGTCACCGCTCAACCAAACGATACGGTGACGCCTGGCGACAGTGACGGCGGCACCGCGGTTTCCCACACCACCTCCCTCTTTTGCTTCTTCTTCTTGTTGCGTGTGCGGCTGCTGCTGCGGTGGTGGCCGCGTGAGAGTGAGGGAGAGAGAGCCGTGCACCGCCCGCACACACACTCATCTTTCACCCACTCTCTGTGTGTGTCCCCTTGCATGGACTCTCGCCCTCACCTCATCCCACGAAGCACACACATAATGTGCCCATTGTATATAGTGCATGCACACCCATGCAGGCCCGTTGGTGCTCTCTTTTGCACGACACGCACCGCTGCCGTCTTGCCTGGCTGCATGGGCGGAGCACCGTAACTGTTTCTGTTTTGTTTTTATTGCATTGAGTGGGCGACCTCTCTCTCTCTCCCTGTGTGTGTGTTTTGCTTTACGGGAGCAATGAGAGTGTGTGCGCTGGTCGTCCCACGCTTCGGCTTTTTGTTTTGTTTTTCATTGTTTTGTGGTTGAGAGCACCCATTCCGCGGGCTACGTGTGTGTGTTTGTGTGTGATGATATGAGTAATTTTTGCGTGTGTTCTATCTGCCTCTCTCTGCCGTTGCTTTCTTCTGACTCTCTTGTGGCGCACAGCTGCTCTGCAATTATAGGCGCTGCCAAACACACAAGCACATGCACACACATGCCGTGTTTAAAACGCTGAGAATGCACGCACGCACAGGATTGTGGCTGCGGAGGCCCTCGCGAGGGGCGAAGAAGCCTGCGTTTTGTTTTTTTGACATGTTGCTCGGTGTGTGCTGACGCGTGACGAATAACAACACGCCCCAATAAGCAGAAAAGAAGTAAAACAAAATGGCGCTGAGCGGCACACCGGTAAGCCAAAAATACGCAATCACCAATAAAAAAGCCGGCGATCACCCAGCAGGCACATCAAGCCTCCTAAAACCAACCTGGAATAGACAAAAAAAAGGGGGGGGAGGGCAATCATAGAAAACAAAGATCCGCCCCCCCCCAAACAGGAAAAGCATTAAAAAAAACGCGATCCTGTTTTTTGTCCTTACTGCCGGGGTTGGCCGCCGCAAGGAATAAAAAAGAGTAGGGCGGTGGCCCCGGACGAGAGATACATGACGACGTGTCGAATTATCCAAGTTGCAGCGGCCGCCCCGAACGAGAGATACATGACAACGAATCGATGTATCCACGCTGCGGCGACGGCCCCGTACGAGAGATATATGACGACGAATCGAGGTATCCACGCTGCGGCGGCGCACCCTAAACATGTCGCTTTCGTTTTCCAGGGGACAACGCAAATGTGCTCGATTGTTCGAAGATCGAAATTAACACCTTACGTGAAAATGGGTCGCGCGACCACATTTTTTTTAGCTCAGTGGCAAACAAGCTCACAATGTCATCCGGGGCGCGGGTTCGAGCCCCGAAGAAGCCTAAGTTTTTTTCCTTTTTTTTTTTGGAATTCTTGTTTCTTATTGCTTTTTAGACTTCTGGTTTGCAGGACGGTGTGCGAGTTCTGCAATCGCACTGATTCCATCAGTTTCGTGGTGTGTGCGGCTGCGGCTGCGGTGGTGGCCGCGTGAGAGTGAGTGAGAGAGCGCCATGCACCGCCCGCACACACACTCGTCCTTCACCCACTCTCTGTGTGTGTCCCCTTGCATGGACTCTCGCCCTCACCTCATCCCACGAAGCACACACATAATGTGCCCATTGTATATAGTGCATGCACACCCATGCAGGCCCGTTGGTGCTCTCTTTTGCACGACACGCACCGCTGCCGTCCTGCCTGGCTGCATGGGCGGAGCACCGTAACTGTTTCTGTTTTGTTTTTATTGCATTGAGTGGGCGACCTCTCTCTCTCTCCCTGTGTGTGTGTTTTGCTTTACGGGAGCAATGAGAGTGTGTGCGCTGGTCGTCCCACGCTTCGGCTTTTTGTTTTGTTTTTCATTGTTTTGTGGTTGAGAGCACCCATTCCGCGGGCTACGTGTGTGTGTTTGTGTGTGATGATATGAGTAATTTTTGCGTGTGTTCTATCTGCCTCTCTCTGCCGTTGCTTTCTTCTGACTCTCTTGTGGCGCACAGCTGCTCTGCAATTATAGGCGCTGCCAAACACACAAGCACATGCACACACATGCCGTGTTTAAAACGCTGAGAATGCACGCACGCACAGGATTGTGGCTGCGGAGGCCCTCGCGAGGGGCGAAGAAGCCTGCGTTTTGTTTTTTTGACATGTTGCTCGGTGTGTGCTGACGCGTGACGAATAACAACACGCCCCAATAAGCAGAAAAGAAGTAAAACAAAATGGCGCTGAGCGGCACACCGGTAAGCCAAAAATACGCAATCACCAATAAAAAAGCCGGCGATCACCCAGCAGGCACATCAAGCCTCCTAAAACCAACCTGGAATAGACAAAAAAAAGGGGGGGAGGGCAATCATAGAAAACAAAGATCCGCCCCCCCCAAACAGGAAAAGCATTAAAAAAAACGCGATCCTGTTTTTTGTCCTTACTGCCGGGGTTGGCCGCCGCAAGGAATAAAAAAGAGTAGGGCGGTGGCCCCGGACGAGAGATACATGACGACGTGTCGAATTATCCAAGTTGCGGCGGCTGCCCCGGACGAGAGATACATGACGACGTGTCGAATTATCCAAGTTGCGGCGGTCCGCCCCGAACGAGAGATACATGACAACGAATCGATGTATCCACGCTGCGGCGACGGCCCCGTACGAGAGATATATGACGACGAATCGAGGTATCCACGCTGCGGCGGCGCACCCTAAACATGTCGCTTTCGTTTTCCAGGGGACAACGCAAATGTGCTCGATTGTTCGAAGATCGAAATTAACACCTTACGTGAAAATGGGTCGCGCGACCACATTTTTTTTAGCTCAGTGGCAAACAAGCTCACAATGTCATCCGGGGCGCGGGTTCGAGCCCCGAAGAAGCCTAAGTTTTTTTCCTTTTTTTTTTTTTGGAATTCTTGTTTCTTATTGCTTTTTAAACTTCTGGTTTGCAGGACGGTGTGCGAGTTCTGCAATCGCACTGATTCCATCAGTTTCGTGGTGTGTGCGGCTGCGGCTGCGGTGGTGGCCGCGTGAGAGTGAGTGAGAGAGCGCCATGCACCGCCCGCACACACACTCGTCCTTCACCCACTCTCTGTGTGTGTCCCCTTGCATGGACTCTCGCCCTCACCTCATCCCACGAAGCACACACATAATGTGCCCATTGTATATAGTGCATGCACACCCATGCAGGCCCGTTGGTGCTCTCTTTTGCACGACACGCACCGCTGCCGTCCTGCCTGGCTGCATGGGCGGAGCACCGTAACTGTTTCTGTTTTGTTTTTATTGCATTGAGTGGGCGACCTCTCTCTCTCTCCCTGTGTGTGTGTTTTGCTTTACGGGAGCAATGAGAGTGTGTGCGCTGGTCGTCCCACGCTTCGGCTTTTTGTTTTGTTTTTCATTGTTTTGTGGTTGAGAGCACCCATTCCGCGGGCTACGTGTGTGTGTTTGTGTGTGATGATATGAGTAATTTTTGCGTGTGTTCTATCTGCCTCTCTCTGCCGTTGCTTTCTTCTGACTCTCTTGTGGCGCACAGCTGCTCTGCAATTATAGGCGCTGCCAAACACACAAGCACATGCACACACATGCCGTGTTTAAAACGCTGAGAATGCACGCACGCACAGGATTGTGGCTGCGGAGGCCCTCGCGAGGGGCGAAGAAGCCTGCGTTTTGTTTTTTTGACATGTTGCTCGGTGTGTGCTGACGCGTGACGAATAACAACACGCCCCAATAAGCAGAAAAGAAGTAAAACAAAATGGCGCTGAGCGGCACACCGGTAAGCCAAAAATACGCAATCACCAATAAAAAAGCCGGCGATCACCCAGCAGGCACATCAAGCCTCCTAAAACCAACCTGGAATAGACAAAAAAAAGGGGGGGGAGGGCAATCATAGAAAACAAAGATCCGCCCCCCCCAAACAGGAAAAGCATTAAAAAAAACGCGATCCTGTTTTTTGTCCTTACTGCCGGGGTTGGCCGCCGCAAGGAATAAAAAAGAGTAGGGCGGTGGCCCCGGACGAGAGATACATGACGACGTGTCGAATTATCCAAGTTGCAGCGGCTGCCCCGAACGAGAGATACATGACAACGAATCGATGTATCCACGCTGCGGCGACGGCCCCGTACGAGAGATATATGACGACGAATCGAGGTATCCACGCTGCGGCGGCGCAC